GAGCTTTGCCTTTGCAGGTCAGTCCTCTTTCCCTCTGGGCCTCTAGGTGGGGGGCGTGGCCCGTATTCCCAGGCCGTGCTGCGAATCTCGTCTCGCTCCGCCTGCTCAATGCGCCACGAGGCACTGAGCTCTAGCTTACCACTCTTTGTGTGCAGGATACCTCCTGAAGAAGAACAAGGACTACGGCGCCGAGCTCGCCCTCGGCAGCAGCGTCGTCCTGCTGGGCGCCGGCGCCCAGCGGCTCATCGCCACGCAGGCAAAGTCCCGTCCGGCCATCGGCCTGACCGTCGCCGGCGCGCTGTCGACGTTTTACTACCAGAAGAAGTTTAGGGAGTTCCGCTTCGGCGTGTGAGCTCTTGTCGTTGTGTCTGTGTTTCCCGGGGGGGGGGGGTGTTGAGCCCGTCTTGTGTATTCTACCGAGGGAGCTGAGACGCCTTTGTAACAACAATAGATAGATGTACACTTACTTGCAATTTGAAATGTGCGTCACGTCATGTTCCGGTTGCTTTTGGCCGAGGTCCTGAGCCTGGTGGTGAGAGTTTTGCCTCGTGCGCATGTCATGTTGTGGGTGTCTGCCATCCTATCCATATTGAACTTGGCAGCTCGAGCCGGAGGGCGTTCCGATTGACGCTATCTCCTTTGTTGGCAGGAAAGATGTAGGCAGAGTGAATATTAGCGTTAGAAGTGTCAGTCATAGTCATGAGCTCATGCTCAATCGTTCAGCCTCGAGGGGAGTCGGGCTCATGCTAGCGTTCGTGTGACTCCGAAGCCGCACAGTTCAGGTTGGTAAATCGAGGGGCGCATCCACTGCTTGTGTTTCTGATAAACCGTTGCGTGACATTGCTGAAGATCGGCGCACTTGATGTTCATGGTACAGCTGTCGGCCGGAGTTTGATACTTCGCATGTATTCATACACCAGCGGAAACCAGCTTTCGGTGCTGCTAAGAACAGACCATGGTCATTGGAGATCCACAATGCAGGAAGAATAAGCCACTGATGAGGCCATCGGCAATACAAGGGGTTCTTCGTCCTCCGAGAGGTTGCCACGGCCAGAATTTTAGGTTAAGGAGACGCAGGTGAGACCTGCTGCGTCGAGTCTGCACAAGGTAACTTGCAGTCATAAATTTTGGCCCGTAGAAGCGCGATGCCATCGTAGAGCCCTATCATACTATATAGTAAACATAATGAATCTGCAAGTTCCGTTATTGGACGTTTCACTGATATCGTTTTTTATTTGCTCAAAAGTTTCAAACACTTTGATTTATCAGAAACTGAATCGTTTGCTATTGTTGCTGTTTCTCTCGTGACGCGAACCCCTTTCAGCAGTCCACAGCAAGCTGACCATATAAATGTATTGAAGAAATAGACCAACCAATATGCACTGTTTGTCTCGGAATGTCAAATCCCACATGTTCTACAACTGTATTTACGAAGATCACATGATGTGCAGTGTCTTATAGATGCTGGGCGATCGGGTCCGCGTGAAGGCATTGAGCCAACACTGCAACTACAACATATCTGAGTGTATGGTATATTGGCTATTGTCAAATCAAGCTTCTTCATCACGGGCATTCACTGGAGACCTGAACTTCCAACCCATCCTCTCCTTCGTTCTCTCTATTACCTGGCTCACGTGCGGCAATGCTGTGTTCCAGGCATGTAGCCCACTGTGGAATGGGACGCGGGCGCTAAGGCGCTGCAAGGATAGTGCCCCGGACCCTGCGCCAGGCCGCACAGATCCGAACCCCTCAACAGGCTCCTCTACAGGCGCTTCCCATTCCCCCGCCTGCATCCCGCATCCACTCGTCGCGTCACGTCGCGTCGCACCCGCTCTTCTGCAACCTCCAATATCCTTAACATCTACACTTTGCCAGGTGTGGTGCCCCGTCGGCAGCACCATTGATTGCGACCATGGCACAACCTCAAATCACCGACACAGAGATCCTGACGGGAGCATCTCGGATATGCGCCCGTCGTATGTCCAGCCACCCCCCCGCCAACCTGCTTGAACCTCCACTGATCAA